ATCCCTATATACATAAATATAATACATAAGTTAATGTAAGTGCTTGTTCCAGCAGATAATCTTCTCTCACAGTTGCCGTTATCGAGCAAAGTCAAACTTATCTGTTCTATAACTAAACATGCTCTAATCCTACTCTCAAACTACCTTACGTTTTGAAGTCTTCCTAACCTACCCCTTTCTATGCTTAACTGCTTATATTTGTTAGACATGAGGCAGACCAAAGTACCCCTACGTTGACTTCAATATAATGCTCGAGGTCTCTGTGAATCGATACAAAATCTACTTAAAAGAGAAAAAGAGTAAGAAAGAATTTAGTCAGAATTTAAGTTTGTTATACTGCAGAGTCATCAAAATTCAGAAATCAAAATAACACCAGGTTTGTGTAGGTAAAATTAAAATTAAAAATAAAATTATTTTGGATAAGTAATGGAAAGACAATTGTGGTTTCTGTTTAATGTCTAAGAACATTCATATCTTCTTTTATTATTTTTCTTTACTACACTCATCCCAAAAACATAATAAATAATTATTGTTAAATTTTATCCATGTATACTATTCTGTCTCTTTTTTAATTTTAAATAACAAAGTGCAATGAAAAAATAACAAATGTACTTAATTCATTACTTAACCAACCGCGGGTAGTCGATAAACGTAATCAACGAAAGCCTATTTCTAAGCTACCAATTAATAAACGCTGTCAATGTAAATATTAATCGATTACCGGTAAATAATGTGTTTAAAAGAAAAAAGTAACACCTAGAATTACATTGATAGGATTCTGCGTTAATTATAAACGTGACTGTTCATGGAAATATAATATAAACTATGTTGATAGGTTTTGAAAGGTCCATATATTCTAATCCATAAGTTACGTGGCTATGATATCATTGATATCGAGTACACAATTGCAAGGAGTTTACATTAGGCTTGACACGTAACGTGTGTGAATCCCAAACACATCGTATCTAACTACATATATACATGTACCGTATGCAAAAGCTTACGTATGTTCAGATCGGCTTAAGACCGGCAACGAAGAAGCTGTTCGCTTTCTCTGCAGTATGAGAAAAGAGGATATTGCCATGGGAAATCCCTTAACATGAAATCCACAGAGCCAAAGTTCGTGCAACCAACCTTATTATCAGCCTACTACAGACCTATTAAGCTATGAATAATAGTAAATTTTCCCATAAAGATTAACGATATGTACGTCAGAAATTTTATTATGACTTATATATTCATTTATACTCCTCTACTTTGATTATAATTGAAATATTTTTCCTTCGCTATAATTTTGTTTTCTTTACATACAAAACATCAACATAATCTTTCATTATATTTTCACTCTCTCTCTCTCTCTACATCGTTTTACAAGAAAATCTATTCTAACGTATGCAAACAACTCACATTCTTATGGAAAACATGATAAAGTCTTGTATACTCTCTGTCTTTCTCTCTGTCTTTCTCTCTTTCTTTCTCTCTCTCTCTCTCTCTCTCTCTCTCTCTCTCTCTTTCTCTCTCTCATTGTAACATTAACATAATGTAATAAGTTTAAATGCACAAACAAAAATACTATATTAAGTTTCTTAAACTCAATGAAAGAACATTTCTTGATACTTTATTTAATGAAAGAATAATTGTAATAAAATAACGATATTATAATGTACGTTAAAGTAAGTTCGTTACTCACAAATCTTATCCTTTCCTATTTGTCTATCTGTCTGTTCCTCTCTCCATCTCTTTTTCTCTTTCTTTTTCTTCCACTTTCACAGTACTTTCTCCATCTATATTTAATCAAAAATCCGTTTACTATTTTACCCAAGCAAACCAATTTTAAAGCGGAATTCTAAAGTTTCTGCGTTTAAAATACAACTAACGATTGAACTTCTCATAACAAGATATGACTACAAATATTCTTTGTTAAATAAAAATTACGTTAGTAAGTTCAAATCCGAGGAAGAAAACTAAAGATTTACTGAAAGAGAGAAAAACAAATAATGATTGAGTCAATTTAGAAAATTGAAATCATTGCAAATAGTAAACTCAATTATGTCCTGACACACCTCATTAAAATAATCAGTAATAATTGTATCTACAAATAAAACACGAACGATAACTATATTATAATAATAATTTTCGTCATTATTACTAATGGTATTAGAATAATGAGAGTTATTGTAAAACGTTGAAAAAATTAATGAAACAAATATTAATTAACTCGACGTAAATTGCATTTAATTATCCGAATATGTATATTTAGTAATTTCAATATCAGGTTGTAAATCATTAGGGTACAACTAATTTTATTCAATAATTTTCGATAACCATTAAGCTTTTCTATTCTATGAACGAAACAATTTACAATTAAATTTGCCAGTCGCCAGCCAAATCGTATAGACCATGACAATAGCATGCACATAATTTTATAAAATAAATGAATAAATAAATAAATGAATGAATAAACAAATAAAAAAAGATATATAAATATATATATATGTATAAGTGATCATCATCTTTTAATATCTCGTTATTGTCTTCGATTTTTCATCATTTTTCGAACGAAAATACTTAATTACCTTTCTACTCTTACTTCCCCGTTCTCTTTCCAAGATCTCGGTTTAATTTTACGTATTCTGTTCCACGGTTCTTCATTATCTTTTTCTTCTCTTCCATTTCACGATTTATTTTAATCCCTTTTTCCGTTCGAAAGCATCCATTATTATCCGACTCCGACCGAGACTTTGAAATTATTGTCCAATTCGCTATTGACCGATACAAATCTCAAAAGATGGCTTCATTTATTAAGATTACCATGAAATTTTTTCATCTGAGATATATATATATTTTATTATACTTCCTACAATTAAATTGGAACAATGCTGCATTATTCGTGTACTTAAAAAATATAATATAAAACATATGATGAAATGATTAAAACGGATGTTCAACGGTAGATTCCATCATACAACATAATCTAATTTCAACTCAACATGTAAACGGATAAATCAGCAAATGTCAGACATATCTCTCAGTACAAGCTAATAAAATATGCATATACATACGTAGATGCCATAACGCGAGAGTATTGATTATTATCGTATTGCAACTGGAATTATTTACGTAATGTATGCTTACTTAGGTGTACGCCATCCAGGTTGCTTGTGATGCTTCACTGTGAACCTCAGAATACTTGATTACACGATACGTTAGTAGGTAAACTGTCTGTAATCTCGCATCAGGATCTTATTTCATTTTCCTTCGCCTCCTACGCTGACTTCTGTCGATACTTCATCAGTATAGTTTTTGATATTTTTCTAAAGATTCATTAAAAAAGTTGAAAAATATCCCAAACAACTGTAAAGGTATCTTTTGATCTTAAACACGTGCATAATTTTTTTATATTATATTACTTATATTACTTTCAAAAAGCGGGGAAACGAAAACTTAATTAACAAAAATGTTTCAGGAAAATATAGATACATTTTATTTACTTATACATATATGTGTATACATGTATATATGTATATGTACCATTGATCAAAACCCTTGTTACTCGGAGAACATAGATAAGTGATCAAATCGACGATAAGTCAGACACGTAGTACTTGGCGTCGAGTCATCGTTGCAGTTTCTCGCGGTTTTCGTCGAATTGGAAACTAAACTAACTTCCTGCAGTTAGTTTCCTTTTGGAAGATCCACAAGACGTAGAGTAACGGCACGTTTGTCACACAGAAAGGAAACTAGTGAATTAATTGGAAAGATTATACACGTTACGAATTCTCCTCTGACATGAACTGGAAAAGCAACCAAAGATATATAATATGTAAGTAGTACGTAAATAAGTAGTATATACTTGCATAAATATATACATATAAATGATTACAAAGATAAATTAACTAGAAATTATTGTTTCTTTCCCAATGGAATATTTATTTTCCCAATTTATTTTTTTATTTCAATGAAATATTATTGAAAATAATAAATATCTGGAAAATAAAATCAAATATTGTGAGAATTTAAAAATAAAAAGAAAAACTGCATTTGTAATTACGGTTAATCGACAGATGGTAAAAATGTAAGTTTCTATAAAATTTATTGATGATAGGTAAAACAGTAAAATTATTTCAAATTTTGTACGAAATTATTTTCTTTTTATTCTTATTTTTTTTAATTTAAAATACATTAATTTTAATTTAATTTATTTATTTATATCGATACACCAATTAACGATTATTAATCTTATTTCATGATTAAATAAATCAAAATCTTGCAACAAAACAATGAATGATATCGTTTATCTAAAAAAAATCGCGAATCGATATTTGTCATTGCGTTCAAAAGCTCCTATTGATCATAATACCAGACGTCTCAAATTCTGCGAAACATTATGCCTTTCTTCTCAAATTACTTCTCTCATAATCAGTAATTCGCATGTAACACTAAACTAAATTTGTTTAACAATATTCTAGACATCACGTCGGAGCCTTATAAAATATCTTTGATTAAAAGTAAGAATGATATTTTAAAAAAGAAAAAGAAAAAATCTTGTATAAAGATGTAAAAAGCTCGTGTTTTCTCGCTCTATTAAATTAAATTCAAATATATCGATATAATACACGTAGTATGTCATAATTTTTTAAATATTTTACACAATAATAATGATATTTCATCATAATTAATAAAAAGTTTGTTTTTAAGTAAATCTATGGAATTATAATCAATGAATAAATTAAAGAAATGAAAATTTCATTCAAAATATGAATTGTATTAAGATGAATACTTAAATTTATTTTTGCAAATTTGACTTTTTTCAATCGTTATTTTATTCTTGTCTAATTATTTATTTTGTTTGAAAAAATCAATTATTAGAGAAAGCTATAGACGCCTGCGCAATAAACCATGCTTGATCATATGATTGAACTCATTTTTGTTACGTTCACGAAGTGTTTCCATCTACAGCATGGCGTCCGTTATCAAAGGTGCGAACATATAATCATATATGAAAATCTAGAAAGAAAAATAATTCAAAATTATAATAATATATTATTATACAAAAGATGCTTATAATAATATTACTCGAGATCACATTTTCGTAGACACGGGGGAAATTTGGAGTAGACTTTTCGAGCATCGTCCATTTATACAAGGTGAAGTAAATTTCTTTCTACGAGAATTCCAGGTAAATTTAATATTTCTTTTTTAACAATAATTAATAATCATTTTATTACCTAAATGAAATCTAATAAATTGGCTTCTTGAATTGACTTAATATAATTTTGTATAAACTTCATAGTTTTCTTTTTACCTTGATACCTATAACCTAATATTTGTAATAATAATATATTTAAATAATATTTGTAACCACTTAACATTTTTTTGTATTATATATTTCTATATTATACTATAATGTTGTAATATTAACAAATGAATGAAGTAGTTACACGATAAGGCTTTAATATAAAAAAATTAGAATATTTGCAAATTGATATTTATTTAGGAAAAGAGAAACGATAGAGAAGTGGAAAGACTTTTCAAAATTCTTGAATATTCAACCGAACTAGATCAAAATCAATTGCCCCGTGCAGAGCAACTAGGGGATTGTCATTTGCCAAGTTTAAAAGCAAACATTGATGTTGCGCTTAGTATGTGCGAAAGGGTACTTCAAAGACAAGAAGAATTTAACAGTGTACGTACTTCAAAAATAACAATAAAAAAGACTTCACTTATATGGTAACTATTCTAAAACTACTCCTATATTGCAGGATCTTGCGTTGCAACATAACAGAGAAATTCGTAAAGCAGAATGGGAAAAGTTTATAAATGATATGAGTGACAAATGTCAAAAAGTGGATAAAGCTTTTCAGGACAAAGAAAACGAAATCAAAGAATATTATATTGATTTAGAAAAAAAGTTACACATTACGCCTTGATTCGATCAATATCTAAAATTTACTACTTCCAAATAAATTCTTAGAATAGTAACAGCAGTGCCACATATATAAATACTAAATATTATTAAAATACTAACATTATTTTTTGAAAAAATATCTATATCATATTTAAAACATAAAAATGCCTATAGAAACTATTGATGATCCTTCCTTATGCCTGAAACCAAATACAAAATTAATAGACTTTGTTTGGAAAAATGTATCCGATGTAAATAATGCTCCGCCTGGTATCGTTAGTTTAAAAAAAAGTAGTAGGAAAAAGTGCAACGACGTTCTATTAAAATTAAATGATATTAATTGGTTAAATAAATATTTAGAAGAGTATAGAAATATTACAGCTCAAAAGGTATACTTGCATGAAATTTTAGAAGACGTTGACGTAATATTGCCAACGCCCAAAATTACACCTAGAAATCCTGAATTGGAAGCAAGGATACAAAAACTTACGGCACAACAAAATGAAAGAGAATACAAAGCTATGACCAAAAGTATTGATACAACACGTAAAGAATTACCAGAAGATACGATAGCTTATCAAAGTAAATAATAATATTTTAAATGATATTCTATTATATCTCCAAATACATGTTTATTCTATTTTCTTTTTTATTTACAGTGAAGCAAATAAATAAACAACTGATTGCCGTTGTACAATTTATCTTCTCCGTACTAGCAGGATTCACATTTGGTTTTATTGGAGTAGAATTAATAGTTGGTAATTTAGATTTTGGATTTAGATTATTACTAGGCATAATATGTGCATTGGTAATTGCTTTAGCCGAAATCTATTTTCTGGCAATTAAATTAAATGAAGATTGTTACGATGCATTCTCAATGCCTAAGCTCAAAAAATTACATCAAGAGTAAAATTGTTTAATTAGACAAGAATATTTTGTATTTATACATCAGTGTATAATTCTAATAATTAGAAATCAGAATTTTATTTGTTGTTACTAAAAAATATTTATATGGCACTCATAATATTTTATATACTTTTAAATTATTTATAATAATAATGCATTATATGATATCAATAAATGAGACAAAATTTCAGAGAAAGCAAAATATAAGGCTATGTAGACATTGCATACTGCTTTTCTTTGCTTTTAATTTATTATCGAAATTGTCACTTTGTTAAAATAAATAGATACATTATACAAAAGACATTATTGTAACGTAAATAAAAAAAATTGAAAATTACAATTTTCTTTAGAAATATATGAAATTTAAAGATGATAAAATGTATTTATTTTTAAAGAAATTTTGTTTTCTAAAAGTTATCGCACTAATAATGTATGTATGTGAGTAAAAATACAAATAATTTTATATTTTCTGCTAATCTTAGACTCTAACTGAATTTTCATATTTTTAATCTTTAACTTTAATAATGATTTTTAAATAATAAGAGCTATTAACAAATAAGAATGATAAAGATATAATATGATTTCTTTATTAAGATGTCTTAAAAATAAAATAGTAGATAAAATATTTTCTAAAATACTTATAAATGTAATAGAATTAGATTCTATTTATTTATTTCTACCTCTTAGATTCCTCATCGCTGTCACTTTTATCACTATAACTACTTTTACCATTTTCTTGTGTTTCTAATTCATGTTCACTAGCCGATGAGTTTTCATTATCATCCTTTGTGTCGCTATTAGAACAAGAGTCAGTATCAGATTCACTATCACTATCTGAATCCGAGCTACTTTCATCCGAAGAACTACTGGTCGATGATTTGGCTGCCATCATCTCTTTAAATTGCCTTACTGTAATTTTCCGAGGCATTATTTCACGTAGAAATTCCAACGTTTCATTTGTCTGTACTACCTCTGCCAAATGCTTATAATCTAAATTATTTCCTTTATTATTTTGCATATGAGCCTCTATTGTCAGATAATGAATAAATAATTCCTAAAAAGATTAGAACATTATTAATTGACAAATAATATACATATTTAAATATTATATTCGCGCGAATATTCATGTATACAATTTTAATAAAGGATAATAAATAATATAAATTAACAATATTTTTAATAATCCCGCCGCAAAATGCGCATGTCGGCTTAACCATCGTGCTCGAATATATTTATATCTTCCAAATTTCCGATTATTTGTTATGAAAAACTTACCGTAGCTTTTGTAACTAAATATAATCCGTCTTGTCCAACCGTGTCTACGTAAGGCGAACTTTTCATTATAGTTTTAACTCTTGAAATGGGTAAACGTAATTCCTTCATTTTCGTAGGTAAACCTTGCGCCGCCATTTTTAAAATTAATATAACAAATCAATATAAACTGAACAACGCTATTAAAATTAACTAACGACGTATCAGATTTAATTGCCCGTTAACTTAAATCGAAATAAACGTTTTCATTATTTCGATACAAAATAATATTTCGTAGGAACAAATTTTATTTTTATTACATTTTTAATTCATGTTTCATCAAGATTCATAATCTCGCTTAACATATTATTACTAAACCTGAAACACACTATTTAAGAGAAGGTAAATATATACATAAAAATATTTCGAAAAATAGTTGCAAATTTTCCCACTATTATTTTATTATTTCCATAAACTTCGATTAAAATTGAAGACTATCCTCTACCTTTCACTCGAAGTATGATTGACTTCAGCGACATGAATGGCACAAATATCAACTAAAAACGAGATAGGAGCGCAACCACAAAGCCTATATATAATATAAGAAGAACTATCGAGATACGCGTTTTCATCGAATTAGTGTTGTTGAAAATAAGAAAATACCGAGTACGATAATTTTCCACGAGGGCGGCGGTGGTGTTCGGAGGTTTGTGGCGACTCGCGGTTACCTCGCCACATCCGCGGTGCGCCGATCACATTAGTTCCGGCATACAGACGCTAGGTGACCACCTTTCAAACGTCGTTTCTCGCAAGCGGAGAAAGTTTCCACGGTTTTTACCATGGAGCCTGTATACATGTATAGCTCCGTTGTTAATACATAAAGCGGCACGGATTTCAGATCAATCCTACGACTCTCGCAGATAAATCAATAGCTTGATATACATTTTTTGCCTCACTAAAATTTATTTGTATATCAAATTGAATACGTATTCTTTTTAAGACGAAATTTATAATTTAAAAATTTTTCTTATTAAATTATGTATTTTAGGAAATTTTAAATTACAGATTTGTCTCTTAAAAATTTATTTGTGTATCAAATTTTATATACATATTTGAAAAAGAAGAATTTTATATCTATACATAAAATTAATTCAAGATATACAGGAAAGAATATTCTAAAAACGTGGAATTTATTTTGTTTAGACATAATTTTAATTCATTTTTTTTATGTTATAAGAAAACAGAAATGCATTTTTATTCAGCTTCAAAGTCATAAAAGTTGTAAGAAAAAAATAAAACATTTGTTAAGTGGCGCGCTAGTGTAAGTAGTATCGTCTCTGCTTCTCGCATCGGTAGTTACCGTTCGATTCTTCGCAGGGGAATTACTTTTTTTTTCAAGTTTTTCTATCCTAAAGTTATACAAATTCTTTTTACATTTCTTAATTTCTAATTATATACAGGAAAGAAAATTAAAATTAGTAGAAAAAATTTGACCATATATTGGTTGTATAATTGTTTAGAGAAATGTACTTTCTGTTTTCATTTACATATACGTTAAAAATGCGAGAAACATTAATTTAATTCTTACATGTTACTCTATTATTTAATATTAATTCAATATTTACAATTGTATAACTGTAATTTATATATAATAATTACATATTTATAGTGTAGTTTTAATTAAAGAATTGCATAAAAATTGCATAGACACATTGAATGGACACAAAACCCGCCAGGAATTGCTAGCTTTCCCTGACTCGCCAGGGATTGCTAGCTTTATTAAATAATTTTTGATTGTGTGTTACTTGTAAAAAATATAAAAAAGTTATTAAAAAACATTATAAAGTAATTAAATTGTACGAATGAAATAGACAGGGAAAATTGGAACGCATTGATACAATATTAAAAAATAATATGATATTAAATAATAGAAAATGTAGATAAGATATTGAAATGAGAAGTCCGGATGAAAAAAAATAATTTATTGGGTTGGCAACTAAGTGATTACGGATTTTAAATATGAATATTTATAAAATTTCTGATCTCTACTATCCAAAAACTGAATTAAATGTGATTTGACATCATCAGCGTCATTAAAAATTTTACTATTTAAGGAGTTCTGCATAATACGAAATAAATAGTAATCTGAAGGCGCAAGGTCAGGGCTATATAGCGGATGTGACATCACATTCAAACCCAGTTCCAATAATTTTTGGCGAGTGACCAAAGATGTGTGGGACTTTGCATTATCATGGTAGAAAACACCACTCTTACAATTTGCCAATACTGGCCGCTTTACTTGAATTGCATCGCTCAGTTTGGCGAGTCGTTGAACGTACACGTTTAAATTGATTGTTTGCTTATTTGGTAAAAGTTCAAAGTGCAGAATTCTTTTATAATCCAACCAGACTGACAGCATAATCTTTTTTAGGTGAATCTCTGCTTTTGATGTCGTCTGGGCTGGTTCATTTTGCATCATCCACGATCTCTTCCGATTAACATTGTATATATACATATTTACGGGCGGTAAATTGACTTAAACCAATTTCATAATCAATCATTACGCAATCTTTTTTGGCCCATTTTGATTTGAACAAGTCATTGGAATATTTTAAGATATCAAATACAAACTAGTTATAAAGAAAAGTTTACGAAGTTAATCAAAAATTATATAATATTTTGTTTACTGAAGTAATTCAGATTTGTAAATAAGTGACTCATATAAAAATAAAACATTACGGTAAATATTTAAATGTTTTTTACTCACAGTTAAAGGAAAAACATAAGTTTATCCACCATTTAATTAGAATTATACGATATACGTTAACCATCTATGGGCCGAAGTTTTGTTATAAAAAAAAAAATTTTTTTGGAACTGAAAATCAATTATAAACATATATATGCAAACGAAAAAAACATTTTCCGGTTTAAACTGAACTATTATTTACATAATTTTTTATTCGGTAAACACCGACAGAAGCACAAATAATATCAACTGAAAAAAAAGGTTTTGCTTGACTCTCCTGCAGACAGCTTACACAACATTAACTTTGTTATTTTAGTTTTAATGTTATTAGCAACCGTCATAAATATTGGTATTAGTTGTCTCGGAGACATTATAAAATTAAGATGTATATATACGCCATCTCATTAAAAGAACTAAAAATATTTGGTAAAATGCCGAAAAATTATCATGTTACCAGAAAGAACATTACCCCATAGAGGGTTAAAAAGATTCTAGTTAGTGAACTTTGAGAGTATCAAATATACAGATAAGAGGAATCAGTAAATCTATCTACTTGTACTTATATCATCCAACAGTCTTCCTCAGATCAGTCTGATTGTATCATACGTGCGTAGAGCAAGCAAAAACGGAATAAATTCAGAATGGCTTTTTTATCGTGAATGAATGTAATAGACTACATGTAACGCAATTAGCATTTTTATCAGTAGGTCTGTCGTGCATTATTTCTTCAGTACATTTACTTTATTTTACTTACTTTTATAAGTGCATTGTCGTGAGTTGGTTCAAAAGTCGACAAAAGAAAATATACCATCATGAAATTATTAATCGTTATAATARTGACATGTCTTTTGACTATCAACATAAGACTTACAAACAGTGCAAGAATTTTRGCTATTTTYCCAATTCCTTCATATAGTCATCAAATAGTCTATAACTCTATCTGCAAACATTTAAGTTTACGAGGTCACCAAGTAACTTTAGTTACAACAGATCCGATAAACGACACAAATCTGAAAAATTT